TGATTAGTTTTCACCCATTGCTTCTTGTTCTATCCTTAGGTGCTTTGGAGAACACATTGACTCCCTCTTCTTTGTGGCAACCCCTGAGATACTGGAACACTGCTATCATGTCTCCCCTAGTCCTTCTTTCTACTGTATTAAACTAGACATACCCAGTTCCTGCAACCGTTCTTCATATGCTTTAGCCTCCAGTCCCCTAATCATCTTTGTTGCTCTTCTCTGCACTCTTTCTAGAGTCTCAATGTCTTTTTTACATTGTGGCGACCAATACTGGATCCAGTATTCCGAGTGTGGCCTTACCAAGGCATTATAAAGTGGTATAATTTGGCCAGAGTCCCTCATAAGGCAGCATTCCTTGCCTGTAAACATGGCACATTCATTTGGATGATTATTATGTGGATGCTGATTAAGACAGTGAGTAACATGGTTCAGGGCTGGGTCACACCAAGCTGGATGAACAGTCATCAGATCCAGCAGAGACCTCGCTATGTCACTACCCAAGATGACAACTCATCAGTGGGTACCGTACCAAATGTTTCAATATTCTGTTCAGATAGTTTAATGCAATCATGCTGGGCTTTAACAATTCAGTTTCACATAATTGGTTTTGTAACATATCTAAGAAATCTATTTGCCACTGAATTACGTGCTAGTAGTCAAAAAATGAATGTGTGTGTCTCTCTCTCTGTCCGTGTTCCACTAAGATTGCCTTCAATCGGTTCAAACTCCTAGCTTCATTGTTCTTTCTATCTTCAATGAAGAATTTAATTGAAACAAATAAACATGACTCTTAATGGAAAGTTTGGCCCTGTTCGGTAGCAGAATCGGTTCTTGTATGTCTGTGATGGCGAACCTGTGGCACGTGTGCCCAAAGTGGCAAGCGGAGCTATGTCCCCTGGCATTGCGTGGCATCGCCAGTTTCTCTTCTGGGTTTCTGGCGTGCGTGTGACAGTCCGCTGGCCTTTGTGCGTGCCGCAGTGCCGGAAACTGGAAGAGCTGGTCTTCTGTTTTCTGGCGTGAACATGCATGCATGTTGGCCAGCTGATCATTGCGTGCACATGTGTGCCATTAACCAGAAGACTAGCTGGCTGGTGCATATGCATGCACCAGAAACCAGAAGTCCATTTTCTGGTGTTGACATGTCCCCTGGGTAGCTCCTCTTCTGGGCCTCGTTAAAGCAGGATAAAATGTGAATTAAAATATAAAAGTCAGATGTGGCAGAAGGGAAAGATAAAAGCCTGCTTATAAGTCATGTACAAAGACATGTTATCAGCCTTCAACCACGGAAGTCCGGTAAAGGTTCCAGTAATTGTCCCTATGTCAAAAGCCCAAAACCACAAGGTTCAGCTAAAGTTCGTAGAGAGACACGTAGTCAGTATCTATGGCCCAAGACAAAAGGAGAAGACAGACCCTATCTACTTATAAGGCTTCTTTCCTCAAGGTAACCAATAAGAAATAAGTTAAGTGTTTCCGTGTTACGCTGCCTTTGAGAATGTATAAGAATGCATGCTTCAATGGCGAAGGTTGTTCAGAACTAGCAATACTAGCCTTTGACTAATTTTTCTGAACCTGGCTGCCAATAAACTTCTCCTTGCATCCCGAGACGTCTAAGCCTGTCATTTTCTGCAACATCNCATCTTTGTTTCTCTTCTTTGCATTCTTGCTTCTTCTCTCTGCGCTCTTAGATGAATTATCAGAGTTTGCATCCCAGACAAAATTTGAATGCAAGCTCTTTTACAGCCACTCAACATGGTCCAGCAAGTTTAGTTTAATGTAGTATATAATTACAATTTTGCCATGATAGCCAGCAATGAAATGGCAGTAGGAAATAGGAGCTCATTTCTTTTATAAAAAGAAAAACATACAGCTGCTCATAGAAGATTTCTTTCAAAGAATCACCTCAAACATTCCTTTAAAAATATTTCATGTTGACTTTACCCTTTTCTATTTGATATAGCCCATGCTACGAGCTGTAACAAGCCCCTGTGCACACACAACGTTTTTGTGGCTTTGGATTTTAGCATCGGTTCTCACTCGATGAGTGGAGAAATTGTGTGTGGGCAGGTGGCACGCGTCGAAGCCCCTCTCCTATGCTAAAGCCAGGTTGATATAAATACTTCCATTTTCTGCATTTTGCTATAGAGAATATGCCATCCAAACAACAAGAGCCACAAATTTAATTATGCCAAATGTTTCTGATCTACCTGCTATTTATTTAATTAACACACTAAACTTTGCCACTACAGGTAGCTTGAGATACAGATACAGATTAACAGAGTTGGAAGAGACCTTGTAGGTCATCTAGTCCATCCCCCTGGCCAAGTAGACCCTATACCATTTCTGACAAGTGGCAGCCCAATGCCTTCCTGAAAACATCCAGTGATGAAGCTCCCACAACTTCTTAAAGCAACTTCTGTTCCATTGTCAGAAAATTTCTCCCTATTTCCAGATTGAATTTCTCCTTGTTCAGTTTCCATCCATTATTCTTTGTCTGGCCTTCAGGTGCTTTGGAGAAGAGCTTGACCACCACCCCCTTCTCTTGTGGTAGCCCCTCAAATATTGGAAGACTGCTATCATGTCTCCCCTGGTCCTTCACTTCACTGAACCATACATGCCCAGTTCCTACAACCGCTAATCGTATGTTTTAGCCTCCAGTCCCCTCCTCATCTTGGTTGCTCTTCTCTGCACTTTTTCGAAAGTCTCAACATCTTTTTTATAGTGTGGTGACCAAAACTGGTCTATGTGCAGTACTCTAGGTGTGGTGGTCTTACTAGGGCTTTATGGGGTGGTATTAGTACTTCCCTTGATCTTAATTGTATCCCTCTCCTAATGCAATTTAGAATTGTGTTGGCTTTTTTTAGCTGCCCCCGCACACTCTTGGCTCATATTTAATTGATAGTTACAATGGGAGTGAAAAAATGACTTATGACCATTTTTCACAGTTATGACCTTTCCAGCATTCCCAGGGATATTCAGAGGCTTGGCAACTGGTTCATATTTATAACCATTGCAGTGTCCCAAGGTGATGCGATCCCCTTTTGCAAACTTCTGACAAGCGAAGTCAATGGGGAAGCCAGATTCACTTAACAACCATGTTACTAACTTATCAACTGCAGTGATTCACTTAGCAACTGAGACAAGAAAAGTCGTAAAATGGGACAAAACTCACTTTACAAATGTCTCACTTAACCGCAGAAATTTTGGGCTCCATTGTGGTCGTAAGATGAAGGCTACCTGTACACCACCCATGTTCTACTGGAATAGCTCTCAAAGCCCATGGATCTACATAAACTGTCTGCCTCTGAAATGAGGAGATTCCTAATTCCATCATTTGACCACAGTTGCCTGTTTTTCAACCATGGTGTGGCATCCAAGCTTGTCACCAAAGGGTCTTATGCAATGGAAGGAGAAAGAATGAGATTAGCTTCTGATAGTTACTATGAGGGAAGTCGTGTCTCTCCTAAAAGAGAGTTGTCCAACCTTGGCAACTTTAAGACTTGTGGACCTGAGGGGTAGACTTTAAAAGTTTTAGCAAGGAGTTCTCTGCCCAGTTGCTGGGTGGGCGTGGCCATTGTGGGTGTGGTCTAGTCGGCCCCTGCAGCACAGTGGAGAGGGGCATTTTTGCCCTTCTTGGGCTCCAGAGGCTTGAAGGGGTTCCAAAAATCAAGGGGACAACTCCCAACCATTGTGATTGTAACCATCTTGATGTTTTGATGACAACCCTTGCTTTAGTAAATGTATGGGGCAGTGGTGGGATTCAATTTTTTTTACTACCAGTTCTGTGGGTGTGGCTTGGTGGGCATGGCAGGGGAAGGATACCATAAAATCCCCATTCCCTCCCCACTGCAGGGGAAGGTTACTGCCAAATCCCCATTTCCTCCCAATCAGCTGGGACTCGGGAGGCAGAGAATAGGTGCAGGCGTGGCCAGTCAGAGGTGGTATTTACTGGTTCTCCAAACTACTCAAAATTTCCACTACTGGTTCTCCAGAACTGGTCAGAACCTGCTGAATTACCACCTCTGGCTGGATCTAGCTCCAGGGCCTTGACTTTAACACCTCTGGTGTAGAATCTTTCCAGCCCAACTTTGCGTGATTCTTGGAGCAAATGTTTAACTGCAGTGAAAATATCCTGCCAGGTTTGGATGCTTTTCCAATGATGAAATTAAGTAGTTGTATATAATTAATTGGATCATAAAGATCCTCCTCTTAAGGCCATCTGCTGGGCTTTAGTCCACTCGGATAGTTCTGCAATCCCACAAATGATGTTTTATGGGTGTCTCAGTGGACAAAGATCAGATCATTTACACTGCTGTGGTTTTCTGCCCGGAAGCAATGTGGCTCTTTTTCAGCATCTTCAGCTTCATTAGGAGATAAGAATGAAAAACTCAAAGCAGTAATATCCGTGGAGGTTCTCAGTCATCCAGGTCATGGTTGTCCCAAAGGTGCTTTTTCAAGAGGCAACTGGACTTTCTGGTTTTTCTTTGAAGACGTTTCGCTTCTCCTCCAAGAACCTTCCTCGGCCTTTCCCCACCATCCAGTCAGAGCTGAAAAAGCTTCTTGGAGAAGATGAGAAAGGTCTTCAAAGAAAAACCAGAAAGTCCAATTGGATCAATCAGTAATAGTGTGCGACCAATTAGCACACAGAGTTTAAACCAGGGGTGAAATTCAGCAGGTCCTCACAGGTTCTGGAGAACCAGTAGCGGAAATTTTGAGTAGCTCAGAGAACCGACAAATACCACCTCTGGCTGGCCCTGCCCCCATCTATTCTTTGCCTCCCAAGTCCCAGCTGATTGGGGGGAATGGAGATTTTGCAGTATCCTTCCCCTGCCATGCCCACCAAACCACGCCCAGAGAACCGGTAGTTAAAAAAATTGAATTTCACCACTGGTTTAAACATGTTTAATTACTATCCTACAGGGGTGGGATAAGGCCATCATCTGCAGTAAGAGAGGCTTTCTCCTTCTTGCTTAAAGTGATCTCCTTAACCTCCTTGCATTGCAAAGTTGTTGTGGCTTCAGAGAAGACAAGTCCCACAGGGAGAAGATGGTGGTCATAGACTATTTTGTGCAGAGGGGAGATGTAATCTGGTGCTAAGGAGCTCACTTTGCACACCAAGGCCTCCAAATCTAATTCCTGTTCAATCTTCTGAAGGTCTTCTGTTTTTGATCCATCTCAGTCACTGTCAATCTAAGCAGGGACAGCACTGAACCAAGCTGGGCAGTTCTTTAATTCAGTAGAAGACAAATCCATATGTTGATCTCAAAATTTGAACCACCCCATAGGCCAGGGAGGGTCAAACTCAATTCCATTGAGGGCCACATCAAGGCTGTGGTTGACCTCAGGGGGCTGGGCGTACATGGCCAACTGGGTGAGCATGGCCAGCTTGACATCACTCCCCAAACTGCTGGCATGTTTCCTCTTCGCATTGGGTAGACTGGGCCGAAGCAACGCAGGCCAGCCCCTTACATTTTCCAGGATACCCCCGTGAACCAGATCCGACCACATTGTGAGCCGAT